GTCTTTATTTTCCTGGTGCTTCCACAGCTGTGTTTTTTGGTCATCATCCATTCATACTAATTTTAACATTTCTATTGAAATTCTTTACGTAATCAGACTGTGACTCTGACATATTAACTATGTCACTTCTTTCTGATGTCTGAACTCCACGAATCCAAGTTCATGTAACTTGAATGCTAATTTAATTACTTTTAGGTCTTCTTTGATTCTTACAATGTCAGTATTTAGAATCTATCCGTAATAACTTACAGTGAACTTTTCTTGCTTTTCTTGCTTACCTTTAGGTTGCATGAATAACAGAATGCATGCCCACAGTCAAACTTCAGTTAAAATGTTTTACAAACTGTAACTGTATCCAAGGAGACAAGGTTAATTTTGAACAAACAAATAACAGAACAAACTGGACGTTTTGTCAGGAACTTTTTCATATTTCATATGTATGCTTCAGAGCAAAACCCCTTTTAGGGTATTTTTGGATGTGTTGAGCTGTTTCTGTAACTGGGACTTTCATTTATAGCATGGCCAATGTGCTGTAAAGAAGCCTTATTGTATGTTAGAAATGGAACTTTATTCAAGAAAGGCCATTAAGAACAAGTCCCATACTCAGTTCATGTCCATGTTTAGCCTGCCCTAATATAATGCATAGGACACAGGTGAAAAGAGGAAGTAGTAAGACTTCTGGGGATGTTCCATGTGTCCTAAATTCTTTGACAAACCACAATAATTGCTCAAATTGTAAAATCCCATACCAGAAGACTGTCACTATCCTTGCATATGCAGAATATAAAAGGTCTTTCATGCAGAACACAAACAATGTTATAAGTTTTTGTTTGTTTGTTTGTTTGTTTGCTTAAGATAAAAATATAGAAAGCACGGCTGACTTCTCTTGTATATATTGATGCATTTGAAACCAACAGTAATACTTGAATTGAGGTCCTTTTCTTTTGGAGGACACTTTTTGTCCATTCAATTTACTTCACCTTTCTTGATATACCACTACCAAGTGTACTGATTTTCTGGACATACTCCAAAGCCTTTTTAATCTGTTCCCCCAAATATTTGAGAAACTGTGCTGCTAGTGTATGATGATTACTACTGCATTTTGGGACTTTATTTGATACCTGGAAATTTGGAGGAATAAAATTTAATTGAAAGGATGAGATGTATAACTATTATGCTGATGAGACTGTTACTTTCAGAACTATAAGGGCACAGGCTGGTCACTTGTTGAATGAGACATACCTTCTGTAAACCTAAATAAGTTAAATAAAATTTAAAAAAAAACCCTCCAAACTTGCCACTACAGTTTCAGACAATCCTTCAGGTGTGTCCTGGGTCTAAAGATTCAAGCCAAACCAGCTTTTTTTCTTTTCAGCTGCGTATGCTTGATTTAACCATCAAGCTTACTTGTCATAGTATAGATATCAGATGCATTCATACATATAATATTTTGAAGTAATGCACTGCCAATAAATATTTGTTACTGTGCCTGTGTATATGTGTATATGTGTTACATAAATGTAGTCTGTATATATTCACAGTCATATTAATCAGTACAAATCTGGACTGCAAATTAGAGATCTAAATAAATGATTATGAAATTGGAAGTAAATTAGGATTTGAAAAGAGATAAACAGATTTGATGTTTTTATGTTGTTATGCCATTTAAGTGGCTCTGTATGTTAATTGAACAGCAAAGTTTTTTCATTTACTGCTAAATTGATTGCTGTTACTTTATAGCTTGTCATGAAGCATCTCTTGGAGATCTTTGAAAAATAGTCAAGGATAATTTAAAATCAATTAACTGAATGGAGAGTAATTATCCTTTTTCCTGTCTAGAAAATAAAGTTCTGGAACCATGGAAATGCATCATGTTTTGGAACTAAAATCTATTCTTAGAAACATAATGCTAGTCACAGAAGCAGAGAAAAAGACTTTGATCCAGGTTAATTTTATAATAGTAATTTATTGGATGACTCCTCTTAGATCTGTTGTGAAAAGTTAGAGGATGAAACACAAACACTATCCAAACTGATGCTGCCTTCTGATATGTAAAGATGTGTTTTCCTTTAAGAGGGCACTCTTTTGTTACCATGCTCTCAAAGCTTGGTGTTGTTTCCACCTGTGATGTAACTTAACACCACTTGCTGATCATAAATTGTAAGTGGAAGACCTTTTTTTTTTTTTTTTTACCTGCTCTAAAAGGCAGTGATGTCTGAAAGTCTGCATTTTGGAGAAGCAGATATCTATAAGAAAAAGAAGTGATTTTTGTTTAAAAATCGCTACATGAAGTTTATTCTTGCAAATGTTTTTACCTAATGCACTTTTCTATAAAATTTTTCCAGAGTAAACTGAGAAATTGATATGTAATATGAGGGATCAAAATAAAACTAGGAATATTTTCTTATTTTTATTATCAGTTATATTAAATATGCAGTGAGATTTCCCTTCTACCTCCTCCTTAAAAAAAAGAAGCAAACAAACCAAACCCCAAAAAAAACCACCAAAGCAAAACAAACAAACAAAAATGAGCAAAAGTTAGAGCAAATACAGTTACACACATAATCTAAAATACAGGATCTTTCCCGTGGTCTGATCCTATAGTAAGAAACCTTGACAAATCATTATTCCAGATTTCCAGGATTAAACTTGAGTTCCAGATCCAGGCTTGAAGTCCAGGCTATTAAAACGAATAGGTGTTAAGGTGTCTCTGAACTGTTAAACATAGCAGTATTTCTCCATTGATCCACAGCAGGATGTGTGTGAAAAACACGTGTGTGAAAATGTGTATTTAATGGAACCTGCAGATATAAATCTTTCAAGTACAAAGAAAAAAAAAATCTCTTGTTTCTATTCCTAAATTAAATCTACATTAAAATGGAATCAGAGATGAGAGGATGTATCAGTAAGCTAAAGTAAAATGCATTACAGGAATGCTACAATTTCTCTAGAAAGAGAAAGAATAAATTCTGGAAATTTAGACTCAATGCGAATCTTAATAGAAATCTAAGCCTCAGAAGGACATAGCTAATGCACTCAGATAACCTTAACTCTGCCCATTAGCAATCCTTTTAAACAATCAGGCAATTATTTTCCTGTAATTGTTTTTGCACAGTCCAATTAGATGAAACCATTCCTGTTAGATTGTTTTCATTTTTATTTTCTCTTATAGTGCCACTACAGTGTGAAATTAATGTTTCCCATATCGCTCTGCATCTTAAGTCTTGTTTACACATGGGAAAGTTTTGAAAAAAAATAAAACCCTCTCTATTGATGACACCAATTCAACTGAACAAATGCTGGCAGCCCTGACTAAAGTCTTAGACAGCTTGCTGACTGCCAGCATCATTTCAGTCCTGCCTTAGTTAGGCTTGCTCCCAGCTGGGAGACCTGGCACCGTGCTGAAAAGGGTGTTTATTGTCTAGATCAGAGCTCTCTGCTCCACTACATTTAATTGCTGCAAGATGTCCTTTTTAGATAGGTGTCTTCAAAGTTGCTGCCAGACTAGTGATAGACAGTGATGGGTCTGAGACAATATGAATGGTTTGGGCAACATAGGAGAAAAAACTTTAGCCTGTCCGAGTCTTTGAAAGTCTCAGGGATAGGTATACACTCTGAAAAGAAACACGATCATTTTCTGGCCTGCCTTTTTTTTCCTGACATTACGTTAACCTTTGAAGAGGCCCATTAAGATTTCTTGTTAAAGGTAATGGCAAATTTTCCATTCAGACTATTACGTACACTAGGAATGCAAGGCTGATATTCACCCAGGATACAAAATAATTCTGTTATTTTGTAGTAATCACCACAGTTTCGTAGAAATAACTACACTATCTCCTGGAAGCAGTTTGGCTAAATTGTTCTCTGAACTTCCTACTATGACCTGTTTCCTATTCATGCTGCATTCCTCAGCTCACCATCTTAGGAGTGGATCCTCCTAAGCTTGGTTTGTCAGTGGACTCCTTACTCTTTATTCTTCTTAATTCCTCTATTCACTCAAGTTCCAATCACAAGTTCCTGTCACTCAGCAAAAAGCCAACCTTTACTTGCTGCTCATCCTTTGTTCCGCCCCAAAACAGATGAGATGGAAAGGACAGCATGCTTTTAGGGAGTCATCCATATGTTATCCTTTCCAAAATCAGCCAGGAACAACTCTGTAAACACGGAAAACGGATGACCTTAAGGTTTGTTAACTTTTTTAGGATGCCATTAAAAATGCACTTGCCTATTTTTCTTTTCCGTACTTACACTTGTGTGTAATAGCTCCCTGGGTTAGTGTGGCATAGGAACGCATATTTCGTATCTATTAGATGAATGTCAGAACCTGAAGGACTCACAGGAAAGTTTTCATTCTGATATTTGAAGCGATTCTCCGGGTTTTCCAATTGGTTGAGGTTTCCTAATTACTGTCCTTTTTATAGTGTAGATTGGGTTTTAAAGTCATTGACTGTGCCAAGAAATCTACAATTCCACAGTTAGTGTCCTATAGACTTTGTCCATTCATTGAATGATGTAAGTAGATATGTCATAATAAAACTAGCTATAAAAATTCTTTCAACTGTTTTAAAGTTCACTTTCCTAAACAAAAGTAACAGATGCAACACTGTTATTTGCAGCATCTAGAATTAATGAGTATAATTTACCAATTTTTCCCACAAATTATAGGTGTAATTAAGTGGATTTGTGTTCTGTGTAGTCGTGCTTGGACCATACTTGTCTCAGTTTTTTCCACGTGATCTCACTTCTCTTTCCCGACATGAACTTCCATTTTTTCCTCCATGACCCAAATAGTCTATTACAGTATCCTCATCTCCTTGGAATGTTACTGCCTACACAAGACAGAGAACAATGCCAAGCTGATTTTGAACATCTTGTGTTGATGGCCCAGTTGTGCACACTGGTCAGAGACAAGAGATAACCCTTGAGTTCATACTGCTTTTTAAAATTATTTTCTCATGCTGAGCTCTTTAAATCTCCCAATGCACAGTTCACAAAAGCTCGTATAACCTTTACGACTTGGAAAGTTCTAAACCCCTGGTAAGTCTAGCCAGTTGAAATCAGCCAATGATTTGAAAAAAAATAATTAGGAAATTGTTGGACAGACAAACAGCAGAATGGCCAGAGTACCGCGAATGTAAAGGGATTCTCTGTCCTTGCCTTTTAGCACAGTTTCACTCTGTATGCGAGATGGATGTAGGATATGGTTCTACAACACCTTAAACCAAGACAATACTGAAAAGAGTGATCCAATTGCTTACCATTTGTTCTTGCTATGATTTTGTGCCAGAATTTATGGTCTGGTGTTGAAAAAAGCTGATCTATCTGTAAAATAATTTTTAGTACTAAAGAAAACAAACAAACAAACAATACACAAAAAGGCATTGCCCCCCCCCCCCAAAAAAAAAAAAAAAGAAAAGTACACCTGTGATCTGCTAATTTCATGGCCTTATACGTTAAATCACACCTTTGTGCTCTTCAGAGTCAGAGATTGTCATTGTCCAGCAGGGAGTCACCAAGAGTGACTCCTTGCTGTGACAAGGGTTGTACCTCCCCTCCCAGACCTTTTTGAAGCTTTCACAGAAGTCAGATATCCTCAAGCATCATGACAGACATCTACATCTACATCTACATCTACATCTACATCTACATCTACATCTACATCTACATCTACATCTACATCTACATCTACATCTACATCTACATCTACATCTACATCTATTCTATTCTATTCTATTCTATTCTATTCTATTCTATTCTATTCTATTCTATTCCATAAATATAAATGTATGCATGTAGACATGCGCACATACACATATACATGTGTGGAACTCATGGGTAGGAATTAATAAGCAGTCTTTATGAGAGCTTTTTCTTATGAGGGGTGGAAAAAAAAAAGAAAAGAAAAAGAAAAACAAACTAGTCCTTTCTGACCTGACTCATCCTTAGTTGCAGTCAGCAGAAAAAAAACTCAAGGAATGCCAGCATCCCAGTTTGTAGTGCTATCTCAAAGGAAGCTTGACTGGAAGAAGAGGAAGTGAAATTTAGAGAGAAATGCAGAGTGGGGGTGGTGGAGGGGTAGAGGAGAAGGAAGGAAGAGGTTGCAGTTAAAAGACACAAATGAAGAGAGCCCTGAATCCAAACCTTTGCACCAGAAATGTTTTTGTGTATGCATGTTGCAGACTTTGGATGACAACAGCTTCTGAGTGCTCCTCATATTGCTGTAACTTATTCTTGAACCTTTATATATCCTTATTTATGAAAAAATAAACATTATCTTAAAATTTAATTTTTAACTGTTATTCAGGTAAACTGAATGCTTAAGAATAAATTTGCATAGATAAATTGTGTCTCTTGGCTTGACAAATGTATCATGATAAGTGGGAGTAGAAAAGCAGTTGTCATTAGTGATGTATAAAGAACAGTAGTTGTTTCCAATACTTGAGATAAAACATACAAAAGAAAGCAAGTCTCTTCTCTGGTTAGCTACTTTAAAGCTCTGTGACACAGTGCGTTACGCTCTGGCTGTGTCCTTCCACGGAGTGTGATGAGTGCACAGGATAGAAAATGTTCCACAATACTTCATGATGCACAATGCATCTCATACTGGGTGTGGATTACTCATAACTGAGCTGAGCAGCTGAGCTTTGTAAAATCTGACTGTAAATGCTGCTTAATTGTGTAAAGAGGTCTGGTATGTCTCTCTCTCTTTTTTTTTTTTTTTTTTTTTTTTTAAATAGGTTGCTGTTTTTTTCATTTAAGACTTCATGCTTCCTCTTCCCTATGGAAACATCTGTGTTGGTGTATTTCATGACTCAGGTTTTCTTCAGCAGCGAGGATCAAAATGAATAAAAACCAGAGAAGGTAATGGCATTCTTCCCTTAGCTGCCCATTTCATATTCTAATATGTTAAGAAATATTTAAAGATATTCTTAATGTTCTTTTCTTGTTTGAACTGGAAACAATATTTCCTTGTGCAAAAAGAATAAGCACTAATTGATTGTGTCATAAATAAACAGACTATCTCCAGACTCTTGCTATTTAACACCCCTCCAACACCCCTGCACCCAAATCTAACAAGCTACATAAAGTCTGGGGAATTTAATTGATCTTTTGAAGAATTTATACATAATTTTAAAACACCTGCATCTTTAAAAGGTGTTCAGAAGTTCTTGAAGCATTTGGAATAATGTTTTCAGAATGTTTTCAGAATGTGTAGTGCTTAGCAGGTGCCAACTGAAGCAAGTTCTACAGGTATTAGTCTGAACAGTGTTCACCTTGTTTGTGCATTAAAGTAACTCATTATAAGCCAATGTATGCGGACTGCATGCTGCTTAAATTGGACTTAAGGCCTAATGAATTGTACATATGCATAATATCCTAGAACTTTTTCCTTCTAATCTGTGCTCCAACCAATGACTTGCAGATGTTTTATGTGATCCTATCATATTTAGAAGCCAAAAGTAACTGCTTTGTGTTGATATAATTCCAAAGTCAGATGTTTCCTTTGCTTGTAACATTATTAAATCTAAAAAGGGGGAGGCCTGCTAAGAGAATTGCTAAAAGCTTTTTTATTGCAATTGCTAAATATATAGAAAGTACATTATATATGTGACTATGTATACATATGTAATTTCAGATAGTGGAAATACTAGCGTAAACCTGGGCAAAAACTACTAATTTTCAAAAACAAAATGAGTTCTTAATGTTCTCAGAAGCATAGCCTAGTTGAGGTTAGATGGGACATTTGACCAAACTCCCTATCAAGCAGGGCCACCTTTAGCTTGTTGCCCAGAACTATGTCCAGACAGCTTTTGAATATCTCCAAAGATAGTAACTCCACTACTTCTAACAATGTTTTTCATATCTTTCTTTTGCAGAATTAGTAAAATATAATTAACTGAAATTAAGAAAAAATGAGTGTCAAGAGCCATGCGCATTAATCTTGCTCAACGTCCTCTTTGCGTACTCTCTGCAAGTCCATTCATCTTTCTGTGTTCTTTCTGTTATTTTTTGAGGATTTTGTTTATTTAGATTGCAAACTATTTGGGCTCCGCCTCCCATGCACAGTGGGCTTTATGACCTCAGTTCTTTAGCATAGTTGTGCAATACTAATGGACAGCTTTGTCCCTGTAACTGACACCTTGATGGGAATATTAAGCTGAAGGGCCAAGACCTAACATAGAGTTCACCTGATAGCAGGTAAGCTTCTTCTTAGGAGCCTCCTGGAAACCACTGAATCTGTTGTACAAATATAAGAGGACTTAAAAAAACAAACCAAAAAACCAAACCAAAATGATTCAAGGATCACTGCCTATTGGCAATTTTTCTTGCCGAGTATGGATCCAAAGACAACCTGACGGGCTGAGCCTTAGCTCCCACTAAGCTGATCACATCTGTATTACCTATTTAGGCTGATGTTTTGCCTGGGTTCATTGTGATATTTCTCTCATGCTGAGAAAAAATTATGATTTTTTTTGTGGGGTGATTACTTTAATTCATAATATGCAAAAATGTGAGGTTGTATTGGCAGCCAAGATAAGGGTCAGATGAAACTAAGGGTACACAAGGGGGGCTATGTCAGGCTCTACACCCTGTTGTGGTAGTGCTGGAGGAGGTATTGTGTAGGAAAGAAATCTGGTGAAATCTCACATATGATGCCTTCTAGGAGCAGTTCTTGCTGCGATTATTCTTGCAAAGAAGGCACCCTTTTCCTGGCTCTAATTGGACAGAAGTGCTCAAAGGATGCTTAAATGCCTCACTGCTCTAAGCACATATGCTTTAAACATATAAACAGTGCAAAACCAGGGAGCCCCAGTTACTTTTGTCTGTTAGCATGAGTGCCTATCTCCCTGTCTTTTATCCTTTTACTAGAGTCCCTGAATTATCTGGTTACACCACCATCCTGACATTCACCTTTTTGGTGCAGAAAGACTGTACGCTTTGCTGTGTTATGGTTTAGCTTTCACATGTTCACTTATTGTGTTGCCTCCAAATATTGTTGAACATGGCAGTGTTCATTCTACCAGGACTGCTTCTAGTAACACAAAAAAAATTCAACTTGGTACAGTATTAATCTTGCAGAATTTTTTAATATTTACTAAAGCTGTACTTTACTAAGCAGAAGAATGATACACTCCTGTGTGCCAGTTTCTCAGAAGATATTTTTGAGGATCGTTATAACTATAAGGAGGAATTTAGAATTTCATATCATGTTTTTCTTTAAAAAAATACACTTATTATTAACAAGAAAGTAGCATACCTGTTTTGCTGGCACAAAGCTACCAACATGTGAATGTCCCGACCATAAGAATTTGAATCTTAAAACTTCTAGGATGTCCAGAAATACATTAAAAAGGTGTATGTACATGGATTTGCTTAGGCCACACAACATCTTCCCATAATCTGAGGGTTAAGTTACTTAAGAGAAATTTATAATGAAGTGTTAAAACATTTCTCTATGCCTCAGCTTCCCTTCCTGGAAAATGAAAAATGGGACATTTCATTTCTTTCAATGTAATTTGAGATCTACAGATTAGAAAAGGTAGCTAAGGAATTGCTGTTCCCAGGGAGTTCAGGGGGAGTCCAACCTCTATCACAGAATATTACAATAAAGCAACTTACTCAGCATATCACTCTATTTGCGGTTCTGATTGGGCCTTGATTTTTTGGTGTCTGTTATGCTTTTCAGGGCCCTCACCAGCACAGTGTGACATCTATTGCAAGCTGTGGTAAAAGGTTTGGGGGTTACTCTGCATTAAGGGCTGTTTTATGTTCTGAGCTGGGTTTTCACCAGTCTAATAAAGCTTTCAGTGGACTTTTATTGTCATTCGTAGCTTTATTAGTCTTTTATCTGACTGTTGCTTTGGCCTTTCTCTTGATTGACTGTGCCTATAGCAGGAATGCTATGTCAGCTGAAATACTCTTCACTCTTTAATTGTAATGCTGCCTTTCAGGGAATAGAATTTCCAGAGAACAAGTCAGCTGCTGTTTTAGCTGAACTTAATGCTTTGCTATAAACAGCTCCATGCCAGAATCACCTCAGTTTATGTAGGATATTCTTGTGTCAGAATGCTGCTCTTTTTTTAGTTAATACAGATATTTATTAAAACTGTCTTACAGTGATTTGCTTCTCAGAAGCTTTGGATTCTAATGGCCTATGTCTTTGTGGAAGCATTTTTATACATTTAGATAAGTAACATGAAGTTTGCAGGTGTCTAGAGTCAGAAATGTGGGTCTGTTTGTTCTGCCACACTGCACACATTTTTCCTCACTTTAGGTGGGCTCCTAAACACCAGCATTACTGCCCTATCATCTAGGCAGAATGGCTGCTACCTTGCGTGTATCTAGGACAGAGAGCTATTTGAGCAGTGTCAGAGCTAATAAGTTAGCAGTTAATTGCAGTTAATGTATTTGGTGTTGGTTTACTAATCTTAAAATTATTTAAGCTTTATGTTAATATTTATTGTTGAAATCTGTGTTAATCTTTACTCTGAGGGCTAAGGGGAGGTGCTTCATTCCACTTGGTAGAACCAGCTGTTAAAACTGTTACTTTTAATTGATATTTATTTCTCCAGCACCTCTTCTCCCAGAGAACTACTCTACTGAGACCTCTACCAGGACTCCCTCCATCAGCAATTCTTGTTCTCCCTCCCACCTCATACTGCTGTTAGGCTCCAGGTCCCATGTCAATTTGGGAAAGCACAGCTCCTACTGCTCTTCTGCTCATGGTACAAAACTGGATAAAGGGGCTGCTCTGTTTCCTGTCCTTTCCACCAGACCAAGTTCACAATTCAAGTGGGAAGGTCAATGGGCTCCAAAGCTGGGCTCCCTTGTAGATGCTTCTTCCAGGCTTCCACACTGAGACTCATGATTACCTCTCTTGTCTTGGAAGAAATACATCTTGGCACTGGTGGTTTGAAATGACGAAAAATACAAGATAATTGTGATTATATAGGTACAGGTTGTATCATTTGGATGGAGGTACTTTGTGACCTTTGTTAGTATATTTTTATGAGATTCCTGAGTAGATTCAGTTAATGAAATCAATTTTATTATTTCAGCTGTTCTTTGCAGAAATACAGAGAAAAACTGTATTGGATATTTTAGGAACAGTTCTTGTCTTACATGACCTAACTCTCCCTGATTTACACTGCAGTGTGAGTGATGAAAGACCCTGAAGCAGGATGTTCCTTTGGTAACATGGTGGAAATGATGATTGTACCATAATCTCAGGGATATCATTAAAAGAGGCATGTAGTCCTTAATTCTGAGCTTCATGCCTGCATTGTTGCTGTGAGAGCTAAATACTATGGTCTCGTATTTATATACCAAATACGTTGATGAGGAGGGGTAGCCATTGGGAAATAACAGTCAGGGAAGGATTTGAAATACCTCCCTGAGAAGATTTGCTTTTGCCAAATGTGTATTCAGGTACATATAGTATATCTGAGTGCAAATGGTTCATTTGCATGTGTATGCTTATATTCAAGTATATACACATTCAAGTGTATGTTCATGTAGCTTATATCTGCATTTACTGTCTTCTTTTTTATGGCATTTAATACCTTTTTCTGCAAAAAATTGTCTGGTTATGTTTTGAATTAGTGTAGATTTTGAGTGCTCTTTGCCACCAATAACTAGGGCCAACTGGATGGCTTTCACCCTTGAATCTGACTCATGGGTGGTGCTAAATGCTTATGAGTGAAAAACTACTTCCTTTGTATTTATTTTTACATATTGTTCTTTTTTTTTTAATCTTTTATTTTGAACTCATCACTTGGCACTGTCATTTGATCTCCCTCAGTTCTTTCATTGAAATGACACATTAAATAAAATGCATTTGCATGGCAAGAGCAGGCACAAAGCAGCCCTCAAGGGGCTATCAAGACAAGTTCACAAAGCATGTGGAAGTGGCACTTGGGGATATGGTTTAAGTGGAAAACATAATGGTACTGTGTTAATTGTTGGACACAACGATCCTGGAGGTTTTTTTCCAGCCTGAACTATTCTGTGATTCCATGGTTCTGTGATATACCATGACCACGCGTATTACATGCCAGTTGAAGCTGAGGTTGGTGTTCTTGGAAGGTGTCACCTACTGAGGTTGTGGGCAGCCTCAGCTCATGCCCTGCTCAGCTGGCTACCAGGAGCAAGACAGGTATCACACCTCTGGGCATCTCGTGCTGCTCAGTGCTCTCAGACTTAGGAAGTGGGGCAGATATGCAGCCTGTGAGACTGTGAGGAACGGACTTTACCTGCGAGTTGGGAGGCTGCAGAGGGAATTGTCTTTTAGCTGAGCAGTTTTCCAGACCTTCTTTCCTTTTTTTTTCCACTGAGCTTGTGCAATCCTTGCTTTAAAGCCCTTAAAGCAGCAAAGTACTCTGGAAATGCCAGAGCAGGATGATATGCAGTGTTATTTGCAGATAGCATGAGAGAAGACAATGAGATCTCCATATGCTTTGTTCACAATAGTTTAATAATTTCTTTATGTTTAAATTGCAATCACTCAGAAAAATTCAGACCCAGGCACATTTGGTGCTATTATTAACACATCTGGATTTGGCCCAGCCAGTCAACACACGTGTCAGTACGATGAGATTATATGGGCAGAAGCCTGAAGCAAGGCATGATACTGTGAACAATTCATCAGTTTCCTACCAGTTGTTTTAGACAATATCAGTTGTGAGATTCTGCACAACCCTAAGCTCATTTTTGTAATATTTACATTTTCAGTTTGTCCCCAACACTGGTGCACTAGAGCAGGGGTTACTGGATACCAAAATTATTGTGGTTTTTTTTGTTGTTGTTGTTTGTTTGTTTGTTTGTTTTCATTCTGGCAGTTAATAGGCAATGCTTTCCCACAAAAAATCAAGAGCATTTTAGCAAAGAGGTGGCCTAAAATAAATGCT